TTCACAGATGTCTCACGAGAACGGGAACTATGCGTCAATGCCCCAGGACTCTCTAACTCTTAACCACTGAACTTATTCTAGAGAGATTCGGTACAACAATAGTCGATAGAATAGTTTTTATTACTCAAACCTTACGTGATCGGGCACTGTACTGGTAAGATCCCTGCGGGATTATTTATTTATTGAAACTACGATAAATCATTTCAAAATAGGTAAATCTTACTTGGGCACTGAATTGATTCTGGTTAATTCTGTCAGAAGTCATTAATCTACGCGGACGAAGTCGCGGGCAACAGCTATCTACACATATAATAAATCGTAGAAAAGTCAAAACTGTACATTGAATATTTTTTAAAAGAATATTTGAAGCGTGATCTCTAATCGATACCGAAGCCAATAATGTGGTTTTTAGAATTTTTGTCTGTTTGTCTGTATGTATGGCCGTGATGATCTCAAAAAGTACTGCACTACTATTTCAAATTTTGCATGAATATTACTAACAAGTCTGGTAAACATATAGGCTACATATTATCACGCTATCATCTACGGGACTGAATCAATTCTGACGACATCCATTACCGTAGAATATCCCTTCTTCTGCCAGAAGTCATTATTCTACGCGGACGAAGTCGCGGGCAACAGCTAGTTTTCCTATAAAAAGGACATACGCAAATGTATATTATGAGTACTAAACGTGGAAAATGATGTAAAGATCGTAGCAGGAGGCAAGTGTGGGAGATCCATGCTTTGGCACGAATGGGCCATGTAATGAGTATGAGTCCCATGTAATAGGATGTGAGCCTATTGCCATATATAGGGTACAATTCCAGACTCCGTGCTACAACTGACATTTAATACTTTACCAGACCCTTGAATCGAATCCGAGTTCTCTTGCTCGGCAGTCGCACTTGCGACCAGTCGGCCAACGAAACAGAGAGGCTGTTTCATTTTTTATGTAATACGTTTCAGCAAAAAAACACAGTCATTCTATCACCCTAAGCTACTACTACAATAATGTACCAAGTTCTGAACCGTGTGTACAACTACACCGTTTGTTTACAGCGCATTACAAAGTCGTGAGCAAACAACTTTCAGTTCAGCTGATATCAAACTGTACCGTGCATTGCAGAACACAACTTCCGTATACTATTGATTGGAAAACTCGCATATTCTACTGAATCCTACTATAATTGAAAATGGGGAAGTTTGTACCTATGTTTGCTGGTTTCCCGTCAAAACAGCTGAAGGAATCAGGATCACGGGAGGATTGAAACTAATCTCAATGTCAAAGCAATTTCAATTTAATAAAATCTCAATAATTATTCAATGTCAAAACTATATAACCTCTATCGTAATTGTTAAAATAGCATTCAGAGTACGGAATATGCCAAACTCAACACCATTTATTTTTTCATTCAATATCCATCCAATGGATGCAATGGTCGCTAGTGTTGCAACTCAAGAGTACGAAATTTCACAATACCAATGTCGATCGATCGGAATTCGATTCAAGAGTAAGGCCACAGGAGTACGTTATGGTCTGGAATAACACACAGGTTCCCGAGCGTACGGCGCTTCGCGTTCCGCGCGCGCCTCAAAGAACCATCAGACCACCACAGATGGGGTCCAACAGGGCCGATGCCGATTCGGAGTCGCGGAAAACCTTTTTACGGCTCCGGCTCGCCATGCAGGAGAAGGAACGGGGTGGTTTTTAGTCAGTAAGAGTCTGACACTCCCTCCCGTCTCACCCAGGCGGGAGCAGTCATTCGATGATTTTTCCCAATTTAGTAAAAAGAAAAAATACGTGTCTAAAGTTTTAAATTAATGTACCAGATGGACATTAAAATAAAATTTAGAAACTACCCTATTGGCTCATCAATAGTTAAATAATATTAAATAATTTACCTGCATTCATATTACTGTACAATGAAAAAAAAAACAAAATTGTAATATTATTTGGCGCTATTTTAGTTATTCAGCCGAACGTTGCGGTCAGCCGTCACAAACAAATATTTATGTTAAACTGTAAAGTGATTATAGTAATAACTTTTTATTACAACTGTCTGTTTATTTCCACCTTAATAATAATAATAATTTATTTCATCAACTATTATGTACATATCAACAAAATATTAGGAAAAAACCTGTTAAGCAAGAAAATGCTTGTGGTAGGCGATCCTACTATACCAAAGACATCAGCTAAACATAAGTTTATAAAAATAAATAAAAAGAAAGAAATTTAGAATTAAACAAATTATAAACTGAAAGTTTAATTTAAATGATGACATATTAAAAATATTACTTCTATACAGATTGAAGAGTCTGTAATATTAAAATAACCGCTATTTACTACATGCATATGAATATATACAGGGTGTAGTTTTGAAGCCGTGTCATTTCTCGGGGGCATCTCACAGAAGTCATAAAGGTTCAATGTAAGTGAAAGTTTCGTGCCATTAGTTAAAATACGGCTATAATAAATAGTTTAAGTTTGACAGTATTTCAGAATAAGCGATAGCCACGTTTCTTATTGAAGTTTTATGGAATTTGGAATAATATCAATGTGTTTGATTTTGTATGTGTTAAGCCGCGCTATAAAGCTAGTTACAAGACGGCGGCGTGTAGTTCGCAGTTACGGATTTTCGTTATTTACAGAAAAATAAAAGATATTTACCTACATTTTTTTTTATTGATTCGGTTCTAGAATCGATAGCCGAGTTACCTCCTAGAAAATGATGCGGCTTTAAAACAACACCTTGTATACGATACCAATATAACATTTTTACAATTTTTGTCTTCTTGTCTGTCTGTTTGTACAGGCTAATCTCTGGAATGGCTGGACCGATTTTGACGGGACTTTTATTGGCAAGTAGCTGATATAGGTACTAAAGAGTAACATAGGCTACTTTTATTTTGGAAAATTTAAACAAAATAATAGTTCCGTCTTAAATTCATACTCTACGCGGACGAAGTCGCGGGTAACAGCTGGTTTTAAATAAACATTGTACATACAATGGAAATGTGAAATTGTGTGTGCAACGTGCAACTAGGTTTTTAATAGAATTGAATCTATTTGTCGAATGCTGCCCGCTGTAGCTGGACAATTGGCTGCCGCGCAACGTGTTGAGGGTTCGATTCCCGCACGGCACATCTCTTTGTGTGATCCACAGATTGTTGTTCCGGGTCTGGGTGTCATGTGTATGTGAGCTAGTGTGTTTGTAAACACACCCATGACACAGGAGAAAATCCTAGTGTGAGGCAACGTTTTTTATAAAAAACAAATGTTTTACTATCTTTCTTTCTTTTTCTAATAGAAAAAACTTCATTGTTGACAAATACGATACCTAAGTAGTTCACGGCTGGACTGTAAACAAGCCACATAAAATCAGGGTTTGCTATAATCGGCACGATTTGATTATTATTATTTTTGTGCACGAGGAATTTCTCCTGTGTCGTGGGTGCATTTACAAACATACAAGTTCACATACACATGACACCCAGACTCGGAACAACAATCCGTGGAGTTGAGGAGTTATAAGTTTATCAGAGAGCGTTGCTATCCTGTATCTGTCAAATGTGTAGTCTTCTAATCGGTTTTTTTATACCCCCGGGAAGAGTAGACAAACAAATATGTTCTAAGTAACAAATGTGTTCTTATATTACTTATCATAACTAGATACCATACTTACCTACACTACATTTTATCAAAGTTAATACCAAATTCATATATTCGTATTTTCTTTATCAACAAAAATCATACATACCTATTAGTACTGAATTTTACGACCTTATAAATACATTATAGTACCTGAAAACACCCTGAAAAAATGCGAGTATTCGCTGAAACGTCCGTAACACATCGAAACTTTATTATTCATGCAGTCGAGAGGTATATCAATGAGTACGTATATAGAAATGGTTTTCATGAAAAAGTACATACTCTTTATCCTGTTTCATGGTAACATGTTAAGTGAAAGCTTTCAAAATGGAAAATATTTTTTATGTCGAGTTTTTTTTAAATGTGTACTATAAAATGTTATATGTGAGGGAAAATAGATCCGATATAGAAAGAATTTTCATTGCTCAAAAAAAATGCATTCGGACAATTTTTAACATGCAATGGTCCGAATCCTGTAGGCCTGTTTTTAAGTCACAGGGTCTTTTAACGGTGCCCTGCATATACATCTACGAAGTTGCTAAGTTCTTGAGATCTTATCCTATGCTCTTCCAACCGAAAGACAACAGAAATAAAAGAGAGGTTACACATTTACCATATGAAATACCTGTTCCTAAACTAGAAATGTTTCGAAAAAACTGTGTTTACATGGCTCCTCTGGTATATAATGCACTGCCAAAGTGTATAACAGAACTTCCCTTTAAAAAATTCTGTAATCAGTTACGTAAATGGTTGTTACATGAATGCTTTTATTCAATTAACGAATTTTTTTATAAATACCCATGCAAAAATTTTAGTATACATTTAGCTTCTAGATATAAGCCTAAATAAGCTAGTCCATTTAAAAGGTTCCTCATGTTCCTATTCTGTAGTAGCCTAAGATAAAAGATTTATTTATTGTTTGTTATTTAGTCTTATAGGCATCTGTTATTAAATGGTGTATTGTGTTTGGGTGATATGTCAAAAGTAAAGTTTATAACTGTATAACATATTAGTTGTTAAGAAAATTAGTTTTTAAGTAATTTGCATGCCGCTATGACGGCGAAACATGTTGACCTATTTTATGATTTAACAACTGTACCTACCGTGTTTCTGGCAAATAAAGTTATTATTATTATTATTATTATTATTATTATTATAAAAAATATGATTTTTAAATTGTGAATGGGTATTTCGTTAGGTTTTTTTATACTTTACTTTGGTCGACGTTTGGCTGCCATCTCGCCTGGCGGTTAGCGGTGATGTGGCCGACGATGGAGCACGGCTACCTATGAGCAACCTGTTCTCTCGGGACTTGAAGACACCCAATTTACATTTAGGTCTGTCGCAATAAAAAAAAAACTTTTTTCGACCCAGAAGCATATTATTCAAGATCAATAACTGTCAAGTATCATAGAATAACACCGAAAAGGCTACTCCATTTCAAATCGCGCTTAAATATAGTTCTGTCATAAATTATTATGTTTTCGGCTTACTCATGTAATAATTTGACGAGGAACTCGACTAGTTTCAAGCCATGCTAGAGGCTCATATTCATGAGCAGCAATCCGCGACCCGCACCGCGGCGGCTGTCGTGTAGATGATTATTAGATACGTGAGTAAGCCGAAAACATAATAATTTATTTAGTATGTCTCACGAAGTTATAATACAAATATAGTTCTATCACTCCAAATTTTAGAAACTTACAAACATTATAAAATGACAGAGATAGCACGATATTTAAGTGCAACTCATACAACAATCACGTCATCACAAAAACCTTACGAGAGTGTCTTCCTATTCCAATATTCCCAACCTCTTCATGAAGACAGTGACATATTATAAAGGCCAGTTGGTCATCACTCACTGGAGTTAATTAACCTCACCTTATGTCCCACGTCACGTCAGGTCACGTCATGACGTCACCATGTCAACACGTGTCGTCTTACCCTTAAACAAATTGCCCCATACCCTTTACGTTACCGTCATATGTCTTAGAACCTTGCATTGTGTCATTTTAAGTGTGCCATCTGAAATATAAAAACATGTAGACAAAACTATAGTAAGCAGTGTAAAGTTTGCGTAGTAAACAAAGATGGGGAATATCTATACGCCGTGAAATTTATTTCGTTTTCGTCCCGCGAGAAACAACTTGCAATAAGGAGTACTTTCAATGTACAAAAGTAAAAATAAAGTCGTCATTTTTTTAGTTTAAATAAAAATGTCATTGATTGGCTTCCGCATATGAGACACTGGCTGGATGGCACTATTCGCATGGCACGTGACACCCGACTAGAAATACCTCTTCGAGAAAAGGGTAGATGCCTAATTTTTATTTTAATGTGCGTCTGGTAGATTATTTTAAATCATTAGACACGTATTTTTTATTTTCCTACAGAAACGAATACTTTCGTCGATATACATTTACATTCACTCAATCAAAGTTAAGGAGTGGGGGCTAAAACCCCACTCCTCAACTTTGATTCGTTTTATCTAAGTTTTATTTTATTATGCAACAAAAGAAAAAAATACGTGTCTAATATTTTTTCATTACCCAACTTACGGACTTTTAGATTTTTAATTTTCATACCCCGTCATCAGCCCAATTACATAGCGTGATGTTTTATGATGATGTACTATGAGTTCGTATGCGCTTTCGAAGTTTACCAGTTATTTTTTGTTTTAAATATTTTATTTCTTTTTAAAACTATTGTGTTACCCATACAGAACCATTTTACTTTGGAAAGAAAACGAAAACGATTTCAAGGTGTATAGTTTAAAAAAAATAAAATAGAAATGATCCACTTACGCGTTTGTATACATTTGAGCTTACCCCTTAGGGAATTGAACGGCGTGATTTCATAGATGTTATTCATATCGTGGTCTGTCCTCGTTCCTCGATAATTCAGCTTCGAAGACCGACCTTATTGTAACCACCTCGACATCTAATGACAGTCCACTGCTGGAGTATGGGTCTCCTCTATAAACGAAGTATTTGCAATAACCTTTACACGTGGCAAACAAGTTGAATCAGGAAAGGAGATCGTAGTATAAATTATAAATAAAATATCCCAATGTTATTCCACCTGTTTGAATTCATGAAGTCTGAAAACAATTAATGAACAAAATTAAGCTTAACATTATGAAAATACCTATATTACATAACATAGTTCAATTATTAATAGTATATATGTATAAGGTATAACAAACCATACAATATGTACTGAAAATCACACGCACTCGTAGGTACGTAACACATCCACACCACAATGAATCACTCGGCGCGTGCGACAGTTTCGTCGACCACTAACACAATGTTCGCATTGGTGTAGTCACTAGTTCATTACACAACAACATCGAGGCAGCTATGTTGAAGCTACGTCTCGCGCCATGCTGCGGCCGGGGCGCGCCGGTAATCGCAGCGGTGAAGTGAAGGTACGCGATAAGTACACAATAATTGTCCAACGAGCGCAACACCGAAGTGTACAAGTCTCGATATTAACACTATCGGTATCAGACTTATCAACTACGAGGACGCGAAGTGTAATTTAGAATACCGAAATTAGTAAAAAAGTTGATGTCGATTCGCACGTTCCGGCAATGCGAAAAAATCCAGCCGAGGCGGGATCGATATCAAAATGATATCGCCTATGTTCGTAGCTATCTTATCATTGATAACAATAATACCTATGTTTACACTGATAAATTAAATACTTAACACAAATTGGTTATGCCACCAAAATTACAATTATTAATTTTTAATAAAAGTAAAATAAATCTTACCCTTTTCAACTACGGTTGCGAACCCAGTGGTTTACTACAACTACGCAGGAGATATTACAATGCAGATATGTGTACGAACCAATGCAGATGCACTCTCTTGATCCAACGGAACAATAATCCGACACGAGCGAAGAAAGATCAGAGGCTTCAGTACATTTTTTTTTAAGGGTGGATAATCTTCGAATGACTGCTCCCGCCTGGGTGAGGCGGGAGGGAGTGTCAGACTCTTACTGCCTAAAAACCACCCCGTTCCTACTCCTGCACTTCGAGCCGGAGAGCCCGGAGATCGTCTCGCGATCCCCGACACCCGGAGTGTCCATCGCGCCTCACTACAACTTAGTTCTAAGTTTAAAGTAATCGTAATGAGTACGCGTTCGACACTCTGATTGGCCGGCTCCAAAGAACCAACCAATCAGAGCATCGAACGCGTTCTCTTTTCGATTACTTTTAACGTAAAACAAACTCGTAGGTCAGGAACAGGACCAACGGCTTTTCAATCTGTCAATACATTAGCCTTTGTGTTGCCTTTCCATATAGCAATATCCACGTAACCTTATATGCTGTCTGACAGCATACAGCAGAGAAACGTCTTTGCAATTTCTACCCCTTTAACCAAAACACCTGAACAACAATCCACATTGTCCAAGCTTAGTGCTAGGAGCTTCTATGTTTGAGGAGTAACCTGTGTTGTGTGTGCCAGTTACAGCTTGGTTGCTGTTTTTATACGTACCCTTATCTCATAATTATCAATTTGTGTAGATACGGTGCGATTATCAGAATTGAATTCTTATCAGGAGGAACAACATTATCTCATTGACCATAGTTATCAATCAACTTATATTGTTATTAGATTAAGGTATGCATAATTTGTAACTGGACCAACAAGAAAGAATTTGAAACCACAACTTCTTGAACAGTCTGTAAAATATATTCTAAGTAATATGACGCACAATTTACACTATACCTTTGAGTTTAATAATTATGGCCTTTGGACATGTTTGGAATAATCAGAATATTACATATACATATAAATAATATTTTCTAACAAATATTTTCTAAATCTATAATAATCTATGAAGAAAATTTTTATATGGTTCAATAGGCACCGATCACATCAACTCGCATGTTCACATAGCCAATAATGCCCGCAAATCAGTTATCTTCGATTGCGTCACTCACTATGATGTCATTTCAGTCTCTTATCATTATAGTCTGCCGCAGACTGTTCGGCGGTCGTGTTTAAGCCTTTCTGATTATTTAGTAAATTTTTAGGAGGATAATAAATTTGGTATAATTTTCAAGGTTCATAATTATAATTTCGTTACGATCCAAATACTGATAAAGTAGGTACCAACAGTTAGTCGTGCCAAGCTTACCGAGAGATGCGTTAAAGTTGTATTATGTTAGTTCTTAATTTCTACCTGTGTTTTTATCCATATTTAGTCACCAAGTGCAAACGGCGTGGTGCGCGTGCCAGTCGCGCCGCGCCGACCCCGTCAAACCATTTTTGCATTCTACATCAATGTGTGTGTGCAGCCAGAAATTCTATGTGAAACTGTATCAAACGTTCAATTAACAGACCCAAGTATCGCCGAACTTGTATGTTATATTGGATTGGATTGGACTTCGATCGCGTTTAACATAGGTACTTCGTCTGCCGAGTGTCGCACCAGATGATGAATCTCGATGTTCACCTACGCGGTTTTAGAGTATCGAGTGATGAGGATACGAACAGCGAGCCCACGTAGTTTGAATTTGAAGCGCCCTCATACAAGTTATAGACTAGCCGGCGCGAGCGCGGCGGTACGGGCAGGACGCTATGCTCAGTCAGACATGTGCATTGTACGACTGCGCAAAGCTAAGTGCCGCGCCATCAGCGATTCGCGATGACGTCATCAGCTGCGACCATGTTTTACAAGTTTATATAAACTCGTAAGCCGAGATGGATCAAACGCCTCGGTAGTCCCATGTACAATTCTATCGCTGTGTAACTATGTATGCTCATCGAACACGCAAGGGGCATCCGCAATGAATCACCCACATGGCGCATGCGACGTTTCGTTGTTTCAGTTTCGTCGACCGCCTCACATGTGCGTTGTTGTACTATTGAGGCGACGAGATATTGAAGATACGGCGCGCGGGGCGCCGCGGCTGGCAACTGTAATGGTGGACATAATAGTTTGTCTCGCACCACACGGAATGATGCAATTCACAATGTACTATACAATATTGTAATTCCGATAATATGCTACTATCAGGGCTTTTTTTTAAGGGGGGAAAATCATCGAATGACTGCTCCCGCCTGGGTGAGGCGGGAGGGAGTGTCAGACTCTTACTGATTAAAAACCACCCCGTTCCTTCTCCTGCACGTCGAGCCGGAGCCCCGGTTACCCGTTAGGTTCTCCGCGGCTCTGAATCGGCATCGGCCCTATTGGGCCCCATCTGTGGTGGTCTGATGGCTCTTTGAGGCGCGCGCGGAACGCGACGCGCCGTACGCTCTGGTCGGACGGGGAGCCACGCATGCTCGCCGTCCGCAGGCCCGCGCTTACGGTGGCCGGAGATCGTTACTATCAGGGCTACGAGGTGTAGAGCGAGCTCGCGCGTAGTGAATTCGAAACAGTTTTCAAACTATATGCGATGTACGGGCGGCGGGCACGATGGCGGCTGCGGTGCTGTCCTCTACCTGCATCGCTCGCCTTCGCTAAATCATCGGGCCGGGTGTTTGTCATAGCGAAGTGTCATTGCAAGACAGCGTTGATCAAATGCTCCGTAGTCTTGTACAATAAAAACGCTCGTGGTTTATGCTGTGGCCTGTGGCTGCCTCACGCGGGAATGTCCTGTGCGGTAGATATTCTAGATGTACAAAAACATAGTTATCGATGTGATGCAACGAATATACACATGTAGCAATTACACATGTAACCAAGAATAAATTATTCGACTGTTCAATACAATAAAACATAAAAAAACAGACTTTCATTAATTGATTTTATGACTAACTTCATTTTAGTATTTTGTAGAAAAGTTTTAAGGAATAAGTAAGTTTCACGCTTAAATAAACGTGACGCCACAATTCACAATGTCGTACAAAATTCATAGAAAACTGTCGTTTTTGACAATTCGAAAAAAGTATTGAATTTGTCTTTTTGTCAAATATCGTATTACAATTTTACCTGAAAAGAGAACCAGAATACAAAGTTATAAAATTGAATTTAGAAAAGTTGCTTCAAAATGTTGCACTATACATATTCACCCCATGACATGTCATCGCCAATATTGACACATAGTTAGTACTGAAAAAAAAAAATGATTTCATGAAATGTTACATGTAAATAAAGTAATAGTTTAAAGCAACAATGGTAAACATTTCAAGTATAGGTACGTCGTAAAAATAATACACGAACAGCATCTCTGTCTCTCGCAAAAATTATACCCGAACAGCATCCCTGTCAGGGTAGCACTTACAGAAATATTAAAAAAGGTAGCACTGCACTGGTTACAGCTTAAGGATTATATACTCTGCTTTCTTTCGATGTAATGTCAAATCATCGGAGCAGCAGCCTTGACCAAGATAAACACAATATAATAATGTGATATAATAATGATAACACAAATTGGTTCGCAAGTCGTATCAATGTCACATAAATAGATTTTATAAACTTATCATCTACTACAAATATAAAAGAAGTCGGAGTTTCCTTCCTGACTCTATAACTCTAGAAGGTACGAACCGATTTCCACGGTTTTACATTCGTTGGAAAGGTCTCGGACTCCGTAAGGTTTATAAAATATAAAACAATAAAAAAAATTCTTCATCTTTTAATCACCAAACGAAATGTTACATAAAACGAACCCATCTGGTGGTTTTGTAATGAAAATGTAAGTCAAAGTGGATCAAACACCAAACCAGACCAAAAAGTCAAACGCGTTAAGGTCTGTATCTGCCTTGTGCGAAAACATTCTCTGCGGTAATCGCTAACAGGGAACCAATGTATTTCCACATGAAGTAGATGCATTTAATGTTTTATATATCTCCTAGACTAGATAGTCCTGCGATGTTTTAACCACTAGTCGGTTCTTATTGGTAGCATTATGATTTAATATCTGTAAAGTGTATATGTATCCTTCTTCGATAAATGTAATTTCAAAAAGAAAAAAAAAACTATATTTATTTAAACTTTAATGTACACAGGAACAAGTGACTTTAGTTATCAGAATAAAAGTCTTTTATGTGGTACTTAGGATACAATATTTATTTATTGCGCTATCGTACACAATCATAACAATTTATATTACATTAAAAAGTTTATCCCTCAGAAAAATCAAATTCGCTCAAATAACTAAAGTTATTGTTCCGAGAACGAATTTTCGATCAGAAGAAGGCCGCAAAAGAAGATTTCACTTCAAAATTCAATTCATGGTAAGAATTCCGGAGAGAAATTAACGTGTACAACCAAAACAAGTTAGTATTATAGACTTTTTAAAAGAGAATGGAAGAAAGAAAAGGCATCTATTTAATTTTGAAGCAGAGTTTATAGCCGTCGAACGCGACGGCGGTCTTGTTGAAAGATGACTCAACCTGGTCTGGAGCGCGCGACGTGCGGGTGCGGCCGAGGTCTCTTTATCTTTATTATGTTCACCATAGTCACCGTCGCGTTCAGTATTAGTGTGTAAAAATATAATTATGATCTATGTATATATGTACTCCATTACCTACTATAAGAAAAATATTCTAAGTATGTCAAAAATATATATTTTTTATTTCAAAAGTAGGTACTAATTTAATTAATACATTTATTTATTTACGCGAACGTATTGATGTACTATAGTAATTCTAAGCTAAAAATTATTGAATTAATCTCTGTGACGTAATATTAATAGCGCTTGCACATGACACGTCGCATGATTCGGTGTCGCGGGCTTGCGGAGGCTCGTCGATATATCGGCCAATTGTACGAATGCATTTATATCTTGCAAGATCATCGCGGCGAAGGTCGATGTGGTACGCGCCGGTGATGTCGACGAATGGTGACTTAACTTGTGCCGCATCGGGAGACATACTGGCGCCGTTCGATGTCGCCCGCGCCGACGATGATGACGAATGGTTCTGTGATCATGTCGCTCTAGGTTTTAGGAATTGGAATGTAATAGGACATTTTGTTTTTATTTGATTATTCAGTTATTAAAAGGTCGTGGGAAAAGTAAGAGTATAAAATAAAAAT